AGTAGGTCAACAATGCTTCAATGAAATTTTCATACTGTATTCTAAAGTCGATCTTGCCTTCACTGTATTAATGAGCAATCAGGATCCTTCCACGGAAAAAGCTGTAAGCCACGATGCTTCCATCTCTGCAGGTCCAGAGAGCACAGGGGAGCACAGCGTCCCTGTCACTGCCAGTGGGGGGAGTTTCCTGCTCCTTCAGGGTAAACAGTGTGTGGGCGGGAAGGGACACACAGCCAGCCCCCTCTTTACAAGCGGTCTCCTTTACAAAGAAAGTCGCCCAAATAGTGCTGTCTGCAGTCCTGCACAGAGAAGCTTGGAAAAACTATGCTGGAACTTACTTACTATTGAGCTTTTGAACTGGCCTGTGAATTCAGAATAAGAGACTGGCTGATGAGGGAGGCTGGGAGAAGCCGCACAGAACTCAGGAGTTAGTTTCAGACTCTTCGACCTGCTCGTGGGCTAACAGGCTGCAACTGCTATTCCATTCAAGTTCAGCTCCTTCAGCTGCGAGTTGAATCGCATGTTTTTCCCTCTTAGTACATGAGCATGTTTTCTACAGAAATACAGACCTCACATCCTTCACGCCTGCTCTCAGGCCCTACCATCGCTGAAATGGTTCCTTCCACTGGACCCCCCACCGATGGAAATAGGAAGCAGCGAGGTCGGTCGGTGTGTCACAACGTGTTGTGCAATGTCCAGCTTCGCTCTTCCTGGTTCTCAGTCCCTAGCACAGTAAGCAGAAGCTCTGCAAGGCAGTGCCTTGCACTGGGAGCTCCAAGCCAAGGCCTCACTTGGTTGTGGGAAATGCATGCACATACACACATGCACACACACACACACACACACACACACACACACACACATTCCGAAGATCAATGTGTTTTCTTAGAATCTTTATTTCAAGGCCTGAAGTCAAAGTGCTCTCCCAGTCTTAATTATCCACGCTTGCCTCTACCATTTGCCAAACTCCACTCTCCTCTCCAGCCAAGACTTTTATATTCTCCTCTAAACTCTATGCTGAATTCAGAATTCAACCACAGCCTGTCTTTTCCCTGTAACAGTCCAAATCTCACATTCACACTGCAGCAAATGGCCAGCGGCTCCCTGTCACCCTGTATGAACTCTTCCTTCTCTGAGCTCCCGCAAATGCTTTCTTTTCCAGCACAGTCTGGATTTGTAATCACAGATAACCTTGTGTGACTGTCCGCCCCCAATCAGAAGTGACCCCCTCGTGATGCGGGAGCTGGCTTCGCAGCACTTCTGCGTCTTTGTCGTTACAAGGCACAGACTCAACCCACTGAATGTTCTCCAGGTATGAGAAAGACCTTGAAAAGGAATGTTTATAAAACAGTGTTTTTATTCCTTGTACAAATCCATGGAACAGCTTGGTTAGTCACCACTTCTCCCTCAAAGTCAAACACACTTCTGCTTTCATCCAAAGAGACAGCTGTGGTTTCCTATCTCAGGAAGTGGATATCAGAATCTCTTCTCTGGCTGATTTCTGTTTATGCCATAAGAAAAAAACATGGCTTCTCCAACCCAAGCTTTCAAAGCTACTTAGGGAATGCACCCCCGAAAGTGTATTTCACAAGAGTGAGAAGTCACACAATCTATAAAACCTATTTTGTGTGTCTGTGCAGAAATACAAACAAGATTCCAATCACTTATGCGCGCACACACATGCACATAGCATGTGTCCATTCATTCTGACTCTTCAGTCTAGCACCTCTATCACATATGATTCATATTTCCATTGAGTTTTAGGGTTACACAGATCACAGTAATTGTATAGAGTGGGCGTCAGGCCCCTGCAGTGTTTAATCAGGAAGCTGAAACTGGCTCAGAAAGATTAAACTCAGCTTGAAGGCAGACGGGCTCCAGAAAGCTGGTCCAGGCATCAATTGACCAGGATGGTCCATAAGGGCCAGTGTAGACCCTGGAAGACCCTAGAAAGACAGAGAAGAACCTACACTTCTCTCACTGAATGAGAATCCTAGCTCCAAACACCAGGCTTTATCATACTAACAGTGACTGGCGATCACACATCTGCTTCTCTGCTATTTTAAGAACAGGAATACAATTAATGCACTAGGGCAGGCTGTGTTTTCATCCCAGACCACAAGTAACTATCACTAAGAAAGCCGGAGGAAAGGGACATCAGGGAAACCTTACGGTTCTGTAAAATTGAGATCAAGACAGCGCTAGCACTCAGGCACTGCGAAACTCATAGTGAGTTCATCTGGACTTCAGTTTGTCTTCAGTAAAACAGAGACTGGAGCAGAGGATTCTGAAGTCCGCTTGGCTCTAACCCCCCGATTCATGAAGTGAAGACACAGGCCAGAGAAACACTCAGTGCTGCTTTGAACCGGCAGGCACCACTGCAATCTCTTGTTTTGTCTGAGGAAATTAAACGAGAACAGGGAGTCACTGTACATGAATTGCCTCCCTGGCTGCTATGTGCACGGTTGGGAAGGGCGAATTGCTGGAATTCTTCCCTAGGCAGCTTACTGTTTATGTCAGGAAAGTGTAAGCTTGCAGAACCAAGCAGACAAGACAGTATGTCTACAAATGTTTGCATTTTTACCAAATCTGTGATTTGGCCTTTTCTTTTAAACTAGGCTTATACAAAAGAAGAGAAGAAAATCCAATCCAAGTCTTGGAATTATGCAGTAAGACACCAAGAGAACAGATTTATCTGCTA